ATCAAAGATTCTGCTTCTAGGTATGGCTGGTATCTATCTCTCTCTCAACCCCACAGCACCTTACTATAGAATCAAAACCTTTTTTCAAATTTACAATCCCCGACTGGAATGGATTACCCAGTAAGCAAGCTAAGCACGAGCTTACTTGTGCTTACTTACTAATCTGTAATACAGATTAATCTACCCCTTGTCAGGCCCTGGTGGCATAGTGGTTAAGAGTTCAGCTGCTAACCAAAAGATTGACAGTTCGAATCCACCAGCCACTCCTTGGAAACCCTATGGGGCAGTTCTGTTCTGTCCTATAGGGTCGCTATGAGTCAGAATCGACTTCATGGCAATGGTTTTTGTTTTTGTTTTTGTTTTTGTTTTTGCAATGTCAGGCATCAGACTGGAAGCTTCTCCTGACTCAAGTGGTTGCAGGGGCTGACGAACCCAGAGTCAGCAGGTCAGGTTCACGTGCTGGCTCACGTCCCAAGAACCAGAGGTCAGAGCATGATGAGCTAGATGCAGGATCCAGAGAAAGCTTTGCCAGAACATCCATATATATTGGATGCAGGCCACACTCCCAACGAAACTGATTGGTTTTCAACCGATTGGCTTTCAAATGTTTGGCCCTTCAACTAATTGGCTGCTCACATCAGATCACAAAATGGAAGATGATTACATAATATCTGCCCAAAGCACTGAGAATCAGGGCCTAGCCAAGTCAACACATGACCTTAACCATCACAGGTGGGTTATGTGCCCACCCCTGTGTGAGGTAGGCAGATGAAGTGATTGACAGCACTGTTGGGGTTGGAACAGAGACTTCCATAAATAAGAGGAGAAGGAATAGGTTGAAATGAACTTGTGCCTTCATGCAGATAGTGGTGACTTTTCAAGAAACCATACAAGGGGTCTGACAAGTTGTGATCCGTATTGGTAACTGGCTCTACTTTATATACCTGAAACAGAGAGGAAAGACATGGCAGCTGAAAAAGAAAAGGAGGGAAGAGACACAGAAAAAAAAGCTTAAGAATTAGTTCCTGTCAATTGTCTGATTCATCAAAGCAGTTATTGCTGTTTCTGATCCTCTGGTACAATGAAGATATTTTTAAGGTGGAAATTTCTTTCAGTTATCTCTTTTATTTTACCTTTTAGGTGGACAAAAAAATCGTGAGAACTGAAATAGGAGTTCTTCTTCGCCTCTCACATCCAAACATTGTAAGTGAATTTTAACCTACTATTTCAAATAATTTCCAAAGCTAGAGAATGAGATCTTTGTTTTTCACTGTCCATGCTTATAATGAATCGGGGATCCTTTCTCCACTAGCAGCCACCATGGCCCAGCTCTTGTCCTCATCTAATCACATTTTCAGTTCTTTGGCTAAATGAATCTTACAAATAATACCCCTTGAAAGAGTTCAGAAAATGAACAGATCAGCAATATGTATGCCATCTTTATTTTCACGCATAAAAGAGTAACATAACAATTGGAGAATTTTGTTCCCCTCTAATAAAGCATTGGCTTTTTCTTTCTTTTGTGTGCCTACCTTATTAATATGCCATTGCTGAAAAAAGCCTGTGAAGAAAATGCATTGCTTTCCAAAGTCATTTCAGTCTCCTTTGAGAGAGTATCTGCCTCAGGAACAATGTGAGGATTCAAATAAATGAGGAACTTGAATGGAGAAAATAAAATGTCCTCAGTAGCTCAGCTGTAGGCTGTGCCTAGACAAAGCCACTGAGGGAAAAGTTGAGCAAAAAGCTTTCTTGGAGCCAAAGAAGTGAAATGAACAAAATAATTTTCATGACCTTTTTTTTTACGAATTGAGACATCTACTTAAAGCAAATATTTTACCCATTTCTCTGAGAAAGTGGTAGTGCCTAGGGCAATGACCTGTGATGCTTAAGATGCAAAGGCCTAAAACTTAATATATGAATTAGGGATGCATCTAGCTATAAACAGCAGAAAATATGAATATGGTGGTCTAAATAAATATTTTTCTTATGTTATGAGGAATCAGAAGGCAGGCAGTTGCTCGCACTGGTTCAGCTGCTCAGTGACTCCATCCAGGACCAAGCACTCTCCACCCTTTGTCCCACCATCCTCAGTGCATTGGCTTTCTTCCTCATGCTTTCCCCTCACAGTCCCAAAATGGCTGCTTCTGTCTTCCCCCGCCATTGGATCTATATTCAAGACAGGAAGAACATGAAAGAGCCTCCCAGGGAGTATGGTGAGAAAAAAACTTTTCCAGAAACTGCTGCAGCAGAATTCTATTCAGAGTTTATTAGCCAAAGCTGGCCATACAATCACCCATAGCTGCAAGGAGGCTGGGAATTTGGGGAGCAGGGTTGTCATAAGAGGCTTAGACCAATCATGCTTCATAATTTTGGGCTAGGCGCCTTAATTCCCTGAACAAAACCAGAGTCCTGTTTTCAGTCAAGTCAAGGGAAAAGGGCCTTGGGAAGAAACTAACAAAATTTTCCACACTTAATCACTGCTTTTACATCATCCATCTCTTCTCTTTCCAAAGAGAAATCAATTTGAACTTTGCCTCAAATGTAGTTCAGCCCTGGCCTGTAGATTCTTGTATATATTTTTAAAAATATCCGAAATTGGTTGGATTATCTGAATGTATTGAAAACCCGGTTATAGTTAATCAAATAACTGCTGCCACTACTTTTCTGAGAACTCCTTCATCCAGGAACAATTTTATAGCTGTTGAAGGATATCCTTTCTATACAGGCAGACTTTATCAGATGTCTGGTCCTTCCTCAGACCCTTAATTCCAGGCTTCTTCCCCGGAGAAAGATGCGTTTGCATTGCTGGCAGCCACGATGCCTTCAAATGGTTTAGGAAGTCTTATTTTTTGTTTGTTTGTTTTTAATTCTGGAGAAATTCAGTTGGAATGTTTTGGCAAATTTTAAAGAAGTGTTTCTATGGCAGATATCTTTTAGCTGACAAAAGAAAAAATGCCAAAATTCAATAGGACTTTGAAGAAATGAGGCAACTGATAAAAACAACAACCCCCAGGGAGAATGACAATGGCTGTCTGATACTAGATTGAAGAAACTTTAGAAATAATGCTCCAACATATTACTATTGCAGAGAATGCAATTTTTCTCATAGTTTTAGCTATTTCTAAGAAAGATGAAAATAAGGAATTTGTGACTTTTTTTATATCTTTCCTCAGATAAAACTTAAAGAGATATTTGAAACCCCTACAGAAATCAGTCTGGTCCTAGAACTCGTCACAGGAGGAGAGCTGTTTGACAGGTGAGTTGGTCCTAGAAATCAAATCAAGAAAGTTTTAGTTCTGGCCACAGGGAAAAAAAAAAAACACAAAAGAATGTTTTTCCTGAAATTTTTCATAAATAACAGAACATACCAGCTGATAAATTCTACTAAAACAAATATTAAGAGGAGTATAGGACAAAACAAACAAAACCCAAACCTGTTGCCACTGAGTTGATTCCAACTCAGAGCGACCCTATAGGTCAGAGTAGAATTGCTCCATACGGCTTCCAAGGAGCATCTGGTAGATTCAAACTGCCAACCTTTTGGTTAGCAGCCAGGTTCTTAACCACAGTGCCACCAGGGCTCCACAGGACAAAAGGAGATGGTATTTGATAAGATGTTGTTGTTGTTGTTAGGTGCCATCGAGTTAGCTCTGCTCATAGCGACTTTTATGTAAAACAGAACAAAATGCTGCTCTGCCCGACACCATCCCTACAATTGCTGCTGTGTTTGAGCTCTTTGCTGCAGCCACTGTGTCAGTCCATTTCACTGAGTGTCTCCCTCCTTTTCACTGACCTTCTTCTTTACCAAGCATGATGTCCTTCCCCAGGGATTAGTCCCTCCTGATGACACGTCCAAAGTAAGCAAAACTTTATTTTCGCTTCTAGGGAGGATTCTGGCTGTACTTCCTCCAAGACAGATTTGTGAATAAGATGCAGGTAGATGAAAATCTGTGATGCTTGGTTAGTAAAGAGATGTTTCTTGTAATATCTATTAACCTTTGCAAACGTTTACCTCCAGATAAAACAACAGAACTTCTAAAAACATCATAATGAGCAATTTTTAAGACTACCTTCTCTATAAGGCTGTGTAAAGAGTTCCAAGTTGCAGAGCAATACATGTTCTAGTATAGCCAACTATAACCAATTTTAGTTGTCTGTTTATGTATTCACCACTCAAGATAGAGGTTTGAGGATAGGGAGAATGCCTGAAAATATGAGAGGGCATCATATAGGCAAAATTATTTGTAGGAAAAGGACAAGTTTTAAGTTTCCACAGCTTTTCCACCTTCTCAGGGGGATTCCATGTTTATCTGAGGGAATCTCAAAAGCCCTTTGCTGTGCTCATCAAGATAATCAAAAAAGAACAGAATTGGAAGAAAACAAAGAGACTAAGTAGGTATATACTAAAAATAGTAAGAAGCTGCACACTGATAGGTCTTATTTGTTAAAGAGTAGAGTAAGAAAGAAGAGGCCTGCAGTTTAGGAGTAAGACAGAAGAGAAATTGAGGGAACTACTAATAATAGCCTGAATACCCGGAACACAGTAAATGCTCCATAAATATTTGCTGAGAGAATAAACGGATGAACAACTGCTACAACGAATGGACTCCGAAGAGAATGATATCAAAGGAAATCAGTTTTGATTGTGTCAGGAGAGAAACACTCCTCCCCGTCCTCCCTACCCGTACTCCATCCAGCTGAATTTGTGTCTCTTCAAGAGCTCCCAAAAGTATTTGTATTGTTTGCCAAAGTTTCTGTCTCTTTTAATGTTACTGGGTAGAGATTTGGATCTTAAAGTGGGAAGGAGCAAAATGGCCCAGCTTGGTTGGACCTACCTGTGTATCTTCAGTAGGTGTATAATTTTGTTCTTATGTACGATGAAGCTTCCTTAGAACAGGTTAAGCAAATTGTGTGACTTTAAAATTTGTAACATTTTAACTGCTTTCACACTTTACGAAGAAATGAGTTAACTGAAGGAAGTGAACATCAATAGCCTAAAGACATATACTCCTTATAGCAGTTGGCTGTTGGATAGTCAGACACATGGTTCTGAATCCTGGCTCCACCACTTGAGACAAATAATACCAACTTAAAAACAAAAAACCAAACCTGTTGCCTTTGGGTCGATTCTGACTCATAGTGACCCTATAGGGCAGAGTTGAACTGCACCCTAAGGTTTCCAAGGCTATAAATCTTTATGGAAGCAGACTGCCACATCTTCCTCCTGCAAAGCAGCAGGTGGGTTCCAACCATCAACCTTTTAGTTAGTAGCTAGTGCTTAACTATTGTGCCGCCAGGGTTGTCTAATACTAACTTACTAGTACTACATGTTGCCGTTGAGTCAATTCCAACCCATAGCGACCCTATAGGACTAAATAGAACTGCCACATAGGGTTTCCAAGGTGGTTTCGAACCGCTGACCTTTTGGTTAACAGCTGTGGCTCTTAACCACTGCACCACCAGGGCTCCAACTTACCTAGTATTATTTACTTAACTTACTTAGTATAATTAACTTCTCTGAGCCTCGGAGCAAATTTGAAGCATTTCTACTGCTAAGGAAAGAGCTGTGGTGGCTCAAACGGTTAAGCAGTCAGCTGCTAAGATTAGTGGTTCGAACCCACTCAGCAGGTCCATCGGAGAAAGACCTGGCTATCTGCTTCCATAAATATTACAACCAAGAAAACCCTATGGGGCAGTTCTCCTTTGTCACATGGGGTTGTTACGAGTGGAAATCAACTCAACAGCACCTAACAACAATAAGGAAGTCAAGACACTTATCTACTGTAAGAATAGTCTCGTTCTAAAATCATCATGTTCCCATCTTCTTAGGCAAGACTGGTCAGGGCTGGCTTATTTAGCTGTTGCCAAAATTTGCCTAGAATAGGGTCTTTCTCAGCACCTCTTTGGCTGATCTTTTTGCATGGACATATTCTGTCTTTAGATGCATAAACAGAGTCAGTTCATAGTCAGATCCTGTTGGCTTTGGAGCCAGGAGGTCTTTTAAGGAGACCTTGCATCTGTCTGTTCTGATGCATTCAGTGCTGATTGCTGTTGTTAAGAGAGCAGTTTCATGTTTTTCAACTGCAAATAATTTTAGGACAAAAGTGTCATAATAAAGTTACCATCTACCAATAGCATTTACTATTTACCTATCTACCTTTGTCTTAGGACTCAATGGTTTCTTTCCTTCCTTCCCAACCTGCCTTCCATGAGAAAACTCTGATTCTCTTCTCTCATAGCCTAGCTGATGTTGATGGGATAGAGTTAATTCAGCTCTAAATAAAAATGAAAAACTAAATGCTGTTAGTAACTTTCATTTGCAGAGATAAATGGATGAAATACTCAGATTTAACAGAAGACATCTAAAGGATGGCAGACAGCCAGTAAAGCACTCAGCCACTTTACTAAATTCTTAGTGGTCTTGGAAGATAAACTTTTTTTTCCTAAGCATTGTTGTCCACATCATTGCTATAGCTGATAAGAACTTTGTTTCTCCATTAAGTTATTTAATTGTACAATTATCTTTAAAATTTTATCAATCTGAAACTATATCCTGGATTATTATCCAATGCATTGTTTTCTTCCTTGAGAATCAAAAATTGTAATACGGTGCCTCTTTTTCCTGTACTTAGATAAAAAATGAAAACCCTGGTGGCGCAGTTGTTAAGAGCTACAGCTGCTAACCAAAAGGTCAGCAGTTCAAATCCACCAGGCGGTCCTTGGAAACCCTATGGGGGCAGTTCTACTCTGTCCTATAGGGTTGCTATGAATCAGAATCTACTTGACAGCAAGGAGTTTGCTTTGGTTTTGGTAGCTAAAAAACAAATTTATTTAATTGTGTTGGTAAGAATTCATTCCTGGTCTAATGATGACTCTAATCATATCTAATGAACACACTAATGGGGCAAATGATGAAGAGATAATCATGTTAGTCCATTATAGTCAAAATGGTTCTATTTTATCACAGTAAAGAACTAATCTATGTTCTCATAAAAAATTAAATGTAGCCAAAATCCAAGTGATAGCTGTTATTTCATGTAGAATTTAAATAGGAAGTTGCATAGAACAATTGATTTTAAAAAATTGGAATAAAATCAGTGATTGTGTGTGTGTGTGTTTCTAAGAAAATAACTCTACAGAATCATGACATCATGGGAAGAAGAAAGCTCCAGAGGTTTTCTTTTCCAGCCTTCTTAATCTAGACACAACTCTTAAAGATTCAACATTATCTTCATTGAGCTTTTTAAGTGGGCAAAGTGTGAAGTCATTTGCTTTAAGAATAAAATTTCAATTTTTCTTCAGAAAATGATTATATATTAAGGCATCTAATTTAACAGTTGCCATCAAGTTGATTCTAACAGGGCAGAGTAGAACTGCCCCATAGGGTTTCCAAGGAGTGGCTGGTAGATTCGAACTGCCAGCCTTTTGGTTAGCAGCCATAGCTTGACATAGCTCTTAACCACTGTGCCACCAAGGCTCCTAATTTAACAGTATCCTTACACAGTCTTTGAATTAAATCAAAAGCATTCTTCCTGATTTTTGTCTGATATGTCCAGTATCTGAATATCTTGTGAATCTTTTGATTGTTTTTTCTATTCTTATGTTTTTCCTTGCCTGGTTATGCTTGTTTGAATGCCAAATATTGTATACAAAAGTTTTAAAATTTGAGGCTTTGAATGTCATTACCTACCAAAAGAGCAGATTTTCTTTTGCCCTGGCAGGCAATTAGAATAGAAACAGATCACTTTAATCCAATTTAGGTAGATTCAAAGCTGGACCCCCTGGAGTATATTTCTTGTCAACTTTTACTCACAGGTTTTGCTCTTTGAGGGTCCCAACTTGAAGCCAGGAGTTTTTATCAGGGCCCCTCTTCCTTAATAGGCTTTGGACACCAATTTCTGTCCCTTCAGCCCTGAGAGATGGCCAGAAGCTTTGTTCAGCTTCTCAACCGGTCAGTTGCTGCTTTAGAATCAGTAAATGCCTTCAGAGGGAAAGCAGGGGCATCAAATGTCAGGTGTGCTTTGCTGGGTTTTTCTTCTGTCCTGGATCTTGGCTCCTCAAGCTGTTGCTTTCTTGTAAATTCTTTTATGTCTTCAACTAGATTTTAAAAGTATTTTATTTCACGTGTTTTCATTGTTCTTGGCTGGAGGCTTTAGTAAGCTAAATAAGCATTTCTGGGAGTGAAAATCCAGTACACATGGTTTTAAGTTGTTTTTTTTTTTTTTTTTTTTCACAGACACTAGTGTATTTTCCTTT